ATTGTGGTTGGGAAGTCCACACCACAGTGGGCATATTTTCTCCTCCCACGTTTCATGGTAGAAACTAAAGTGACCATATGCTAGCCAAGCATCTCTGTACACTTAGAATAAAACTAAAGTTCAGCCCTGACCGGTTTGGCTCAGTGGATAGAGCATTGGCCTGCAGAGTGAAGGGTCCCAGGTTCGATTCTGGTCAAGGGCACACGGGTTGCAGGCTCAATCCCCAGTAGGGGGCATGCAGGAGGCAGCCGATCAATGTTTCTCTCTCATCATTGACGTTTTTCCCTCTCTCCCTCTTCCTTCCTCTCTGAAATCAATAAAAATCTATTTTTTTTAAAAAGAGAAAGGTCAGGAGAGCCGACCTCCTAAGGACTCCAGGATACACATGAATCCTGAGCCTCAAATATTGCATAGAAAACAGGCCTCACCTCATCAAACCATAGGCCTCACCCCACCACAGCTCGCTGACCAAACTGCTCTATGCTGAAAGACAGGAGACCTGCACCTCGAGAAACCCAGGAGGGTCAGGCAAGCCAGCATTCCTCTGTGGATGCAGTCAATATTCAGGACCCGGCCCTAAGGATTGCACAGGGCAGGGGGTGCGCACCTGGCAGGCCGGGCAGGCCTCACCGCGGTCCCAGCCGCAGTCGCTGCCGCAGTGGCCCACAAAGGGTGGGTAGCCACTGAGCAGGATGTAGAGGATGACGCCCAGGCTCCAGAGGTCGCAGCGCTTGTCATAGATGCTGGCCTCCTCGCTGAAGGCCTCCACCACCTCAGGGGCCATATACTCTGCAGAGCCGCACTGCGGGGAAGAGGGGGAAGCGGTGATGACTAGATGCCATGGGGGAGGGGGACGCCACTGGCAGGGACTTTCCAGTGTAATGTGAGGCAAGGGACCGCCCAGTCACCTGAGCCTGAGACGCAGTGACTGACAGCTCTGTTCGGCCAATTACAGGCGACGGCGGGTGCCAGCCCGCCCCCACCTGACCACAGCCCCGCCCCAAAACCTGGGTCAGCCCTGGCTCTACGGAGGGGAGGAGACAGGGCTGGCAGAGCTTCCATGTCAACTCAAGGGTAGACGGGGCAGGACGTGGCCATGGTCAGACTGAGCCCTGAGAAGGGGCACTGGGGTGCCCGGGGTGGGGGATCTACGGGTCCCCCATGTTGGCTGACGAGTGCCAGTCCAGCCCCTCCCATTCCTCCAGTGCCCCTTCCCCCACCTCAGGTAGACAGAGTCCCCAGTGGAGAGAGTGGGGAGTAGTGGTAATGGTGCAGCCTCTCCCCGTCAGCTGCAGCTTAAGGTTCTCAGTTAGGGGTGGGGTGGGGTCCATGTGGGTGGCTGTTCACTCCACCTGCCCACACCCAGGACTCCCCTGGCCACCAGGGTGCCTTTCGGGTGAAAGGAGGTGCAGGGTTAGTCTGGCCTTGAGAACGCTAAGGGCAGGGAAGGGGGAGGGGCGCAGGTGTGTTCCCGGGTCCCCCAGCTCTGGAAGACAGCAAATGTCCTCCTCTCCTGAGTCACATTGGGCAGGGACCATGGGCACAAGGCCTTTCACAGTACAGCTGAGCCTGTACGGCCAGGGTGGCAGGGTGGGAGCATGCGCAGCACATGTGCCCTCTGCTCTTCTCCAGGGTGCCTGTTTACTTTTAACACCATTCAAAGGGAAAAAATGGGGGTGGGGGACAGAAAAAAAAGGAAAACCCAACAGCAAAAACTTTATATAAAAAGATACCCCCCCAACTGAGCTGAGCTGAGCACAGCACCTCAGAACCCAAGGGGGGGTGGGAGTGAGGGGTGTTGCACAGCCTGCTGGTCACTGGCTGGCAATAGCTTAAAAAAAATCTTGAGATCTGATGGGGGAGGGGGTGACCTATGTACAGCAGAAGGGAGGGGTCATGCATGGTCCCCCACCAGGACCACGGGGGCTGCAGAGAGGCTGGCTCGCTGCCGCCGCTGGGCCAGCTTGGACTGGGATGGTGGGGACAGGTGCAGGTAGCGTGAGGTAGCTCGGATGACCACGGGCTGGCCCTGCCCCACCTCCTCCAACGCGTCCTCCTCGCGCTGGGCCAGCTGCCGGTTCATGGCGATGGCCTCAGCTGCGAAGGATGTGAGGTCTTTGGCACAGCTGTTCCTGGGGACAAGACGGGCCAGTCACCAAGGAAGGAGAGGTGGCTGCCAGGCATACCCTCTGCTTCCCTTAGGGCCCAGGGTCTGTACAGTGCCCTGGAGGAGGGGCTATGGCCCCAAGCTCCCCCGCCCCCTGGCCTGGGACCGAATCCACCAGCCCTACAAGGTCACCCAGTTCTTGAATGGCCTCCCCTACAACTTAAAGAGAACTTATTTTGCATTTTTAAAACACCTTAACTTTTAACCTCCCCTCTCCAACCCGAGACCCCATGCAGGCCTCACCTCTGCAGAACCATGGGCGTGGGCAGGGTGTTCTCTGGGGCGCACTGCAAGGAGACCAGAGAAGCGGGTCTAGAGAACACAGTGAGGTTCATCCATCCTGCCCAGGGCCAACCCTCCCAGATCCCCCATGGCCCTGACACCAGTAAGGGTTAAGGGGAACACCTGCCTGGAAGCTGGGGCAAACAGGATATTGCAGCCCAGGTGCCTGTGGTGGGGGTGCCAGTGGCTCCCCAACCACCCCACCTAACCATTCCCAGCCCAGCCCCTTCCCCTTCTCAATCACAAACACCAACCTCCCCAGCCCAGAGCCCTTACTAGACACTTACTAGTGCATGCCACTTCTGGGGGGTCAAAATCCGCTCGGTAATAGCCGGTTCGGCAGGTGCAGATGGAAGATGCCTCTGAGGGGGATCTGCTGTTGGAGGGGCAGGG